CACCCCCCTCCCCCGGCTTCCCCCTGGGTCCCCTGGGAAACACCACTCCTTGGCGTGGCAGAACTAACCTCGGTGCTCCCCCTTCATCGCTGCCTCTTAGCACTGCCTGCCCAAGTGCCCCCTCGTGAAGCTCTTCCTCCTCCCACTCCCCACCTCCCCCCTTTTCTGCCCTTTCATTGCGACTGCCAATGATATAATTAGTCCCCAACAATACACCATCTTGGATTATTTCCTGATACTTCTTATGTGTCCACTTGCCTGGCTGAACTATTTATTGTCTGAGCGGATGGGCTGTGGAACTGGGATTTTCTTTGTGCTTCTCACAGTGCCATTTGCCCCTGCCCCACGCCACCAGCAAGGTGCTTGATGAATACTGGGGGGTAGAAAAAAGCTTGAAGTGGTGGGTGGGTGGATGGAGAGCTGGTTAATGGTAGGATTAGGCGAGTTTCCACACATGCCGAAAACAGGATTCTCCAGAGCTCAGAGTAGGGAATGTGCAACCCACCACCATGTACTCAGTTTTCACTGTACTGACTTGACCTCTGGTAGGAGGAGACTTGTCCAGTGACCTTAATCCAGAAGGCCCCTCTCCCAGGATACTTTAGAATCAGACTGGCTGCTTTTGATCCGTGAGCTGGAAAAATTCATGCCATCATTTTCATTTTAATCAGTATGTGTCAACATGAACTCAAAGCCTGTGCCTTGCCTGTCCATTTGCCCAGAAGCGAAAGACCTGTCTCTCAGCAGGGGACACTAGCCAGCTCTTACAGTAGATCCAGGACACATGTGAAGTCTGGGGCGACAGCATTCTCCAGCGCCTGGAGCCACTCATCTTTCGGTCTTGGTGATTAGCCTAATATAGACATGTCACCTATGTGGAATAATAGAATATGTGGTCTGATTGTGTTGTGCTTCCTTTAAAATTCATCTGTGTTGTAGCATGTATTAGTACTTCCTTTCTGTGGCAAAATACTCATTTGGATACACCACATTTTTACTTAGAAACATTTGAGTTTCTACTTTTTGGGTATCCTCAATAATGCTGTTATGAACATTCGTATACAAGTTTTTATATGGACATAAGTTTGTTTTTTTTTTCTCTTGGGGATATGCCTTGGAGTAAGAAGAATTATACAGCTGTTTCCCAGTGTCTGAGGGTTCCAGCTTTTCCACATCTTTCCAATTTCTTCACATCTTTGCCAGAATTTATCATCAGTCTTTTTTATTTTAGTTATCCCTAGTAGATATGAAGTGGTATTTTCATGACTTTAATTTATACTTTCTTAATGGGCAGTAATGCTAAGTGTCTTCTCATATGCTTATTTGTCATGTGTATCTTCTCTGGAGAAATGTCTGTTCAGATCAGTTGCACATTTTTTTAATTGGGTTGTCCTTTTATTATTGGATTTTAAGAGTTCTTTATATGCTCTAGATACAAGCCCTTTTTCAGATGTAGAATTTGTAAATATTGTCTCCAGTTCTGTGAGTTGTCTTCCCACTTAACTTTTCCTTCATGCTTACCTCTAAGTACTGAGACCCTTCCACCCAACAATATCACCTAGAAGTCATTTCACCCACTCTGTTTAGCTGCCAATCGATCTTCCACAATGATAAACTAATAACTTTTTAATACCTTTTCTTCAGGGAAAAGAAATCTTTGGTTTCTTACTTTTGCCAATAACAAAAATGTTGGAGGGGTGGGTGACAAAGCGTTTGTGTTGACATCTTTCACGTGGCCCAGGGTGTCTCCTCCTGTTGGTGAGCACACCCACTCTCCCCGGTTAGCACCTCCAGTCACCATATACAGATCACCAGTGTCAAACTTGTACAGTCACCAAATCAATCTGAAGGTGTCATTCATCTGATGAAGGACCAGGCTAGCAGCTGGTATGAACATCATGAGGATGATGAAGAATTCCTTGAGTGCCCACAAAGATCTTTCTCACTTTGCACTTGTGTTTGGCCCCTAGAGATAATGCGATGAACAGCAAAATGACCCTTGGGTGTCATAGATCAGACAGAAATTCTCTCCCGTCTGGTCCATGCTGGTGGGAAAAACCAAGAGGGTAGGATGGATAGTGTAGACCTTGGTGTTCTTTGCCATCTCATCTCCTGACAGGGCATCCTGAGGCACATTCCTGAGGAAAATGATGTGCGGGAGATATTCTTTCAGCTCATAGGAATTGCAAACTCCCTAGAGCTTTGGAGCTATGACCTACTGCAGATGCCTCTTGGGACCATGAGTCATCACTGCACTAGGCAAAGAGCATCTTTTCACTTTCTTAATGATATCCTTTGAAACATAAAAGGTTTCAATTTTGATGAAATCAAACTTTGTTTGGTTGCTGTGCTTTTGATGTTATATTTAAGAAACCAATCCAAGTTTACAGAGATTTACTTCTGTGTTTTCTTCTGTGAGTTTTGAAATTTCAACCCTTGAATTTAGGTCCTTGGCCTATTTCTCTTAAGATTTATTTATTTACGCACACAA